CATCAAAATTGTCTAAAATGTGTGTAACATCAAAATTGTCTAAAATGTGTAACATCAAAATTGTTTAAATTGTGTAACAGCAAAATTGTCTTAATCGTGTAACATCAAAATTGTCTAAATCGGCTAACAGCAAAATTGTCTAAATCGTGTAACAGCAAAATTGTCTAAATCGGGTAACAGCAAAATTGTTTAAATTGTGTAACAGCAAAATTGTCTAAATCGGGTAACATTAAAATTGTCTAAATCGGCTAACAGCAAAATTGTCTAAATCGTGTAACAGCAAAATTGTCTAAATCGGGTAACAGTAAAATTGTCTAAATCGTGTAACATCAAAATTGTCTAAATCGTGTAACATCAAAATTGTCTAAATCGTGTAACATCAAAATTGTCTAAATTGTGTAACATCAAAATTGTCTAAATTGTGTAACAGCAAAATTGTCTAAATTGTGTAACAGCAAAATTGTTTAAATTGTGTAACAGCAAAATTGTCTTAATCGTGTAACATCAAAATTGTCTAAATCGGGTAACATTAAAATTGTCTAAATCGTGTAACAGCAAAATTGTCTAAATTGTGTAACATCAAAATTGTTTAAATTGTGTAACAGCAAAATTGTCTAAATCGTGTAATAGCAAAATTGTTTAAATTGTGTAACAGCAAAATTGTCTTAATCGTGTAACATCAAAATTGTCTAAATCGGGTAACATCAAAATTGTCTAAATTGTGTAACAGCAAAATTGTCTAAATCGTGTAACATCAAAATTGTCTAAATCAGGTAACAGCAAAATTGTCTAAATCGTGTAACATCAAAATTGTCTAAATTGTGTAACATCAAAATTGTCTAAATCGTGTAACAGCAAAATTGTCTAAATCGGGTAACATCAAAATTGTCTAAATCGTGTAACATCAAAATTGTCTAAATCAGGTAACATCAAAATTGTCTAAAAAATCGTAATCGTAACATCAAAATTGTCTAAATTGTGTAACATCAAAATTGTCTAAATTGTGTAACATCAAAATTGTTTAAATCGTGTAACAGCAAAATTGTCTAAATCAGGTAACATCAAAATTGTTTAAATTGTGTAACAGCAAAATTGTCTTAATCGTGTAACATCAAAATTGTCTAAATCGGGTAACATTAAAATTGTCTAAATCGTGTAACAGCAAAATTGTCTAAATCGTGTAACAGCAAAATTGTCTAAATCAAAATTGTAACAGCAAAATTGTCTAAATCGTGTAACAGCAAAATTGTCTAAATTGTGTAACATCAAAATTGTCTAAATTGTGTAACAACAAAATTGTCTAAATCATGTAACATCAAAATTGTCTAAATTGTGTAACATCAAAATTGTTTAAATTGTGTAACAGCAAAATTGTCTAAATCGTGTAACATCAAAATTGTCTAAATCGGGTAACATCAAAATTGTCTAAATTGTGTAACAGCAAAATTGTCTTAATCGTGTAACAGCAAAATTGTCTAAATCGGGTAACACTAAAATTGTCTAAATCGTGTAACAGCAAAATTGTCTAAATCGTGTACGAGCAAAATTGTCTAAATCGTGTAACATCAAAATTGTTTAAATTGTGTAACAGCAAAATTGTCTAAATCGTGTAACATCAAAATTGTCTAAATTGTGTAACAGCAAAATTGTCTAAATTGTGTAACAGCAAAATTGTCTAAATCGTGTAACAGCAAAATTGTCTAAATTGTGTAACAGCAAAATTGTCTAAATCATGTAACAGCAAAATTGTCTAAATTGTGTAACAGCAAAATTGTCTAAATCGTGGGTAACATTAAAATTGTAACATTAAAAATCGTGTAACATCAAAATTGTCTAAATTGTGTAACATCAAAATTGTCTAAATTGTGTAACAGCAAAATTGTCTAAATTGTGTAACAGCAAAATTGTTTAAATTGTGTAACAGCAAAATTGTCTAAATCGTGTAACATCAAAATTGTCTAAATCGTGTAACAGCAAAATTGTCTAAATCGTGTAACATCAAAATTGTCTAAATCGGGTAACATCAAAATTGTCTAAATTGTGTAACAGCAAAATTGTCTAAATCGTGTAACATCAAAATTGTTTAAATTGTGTAACAGCAAAATTGTCTTAATCGTGTAACATCAAAATTGTCTAAATCGGGTAACATTAAAATTGTCTAAATCGTGTAACAGCAAAATTGTCTAAATTGTGTAACGTCAAAATTGTCTAAATCAAGGTAACAGCAAAATTGTCTAAACATCAAAATTGTCTAAATCGTGTAACAGCAAAATTGTCTAAATCATGTAACATCAAAATTGTCTAAATCGTGTAACAACAAAATTGTCTAAATCGTGTAACATCAAAATTGTCTAAATTGTGTAACATCAAAATTGTCTAAATTGTGTAACATCAAAATTGTTTAAATCGTGTAACATCAAAATTGTCTAATTGTGTAACATCAAAATTGTCTAAATCGGTAACATCAAAATTTTAAATCGTGTAACAGCAAAATTGTCTTAATCGTGTAACATCAAAATTGTCTAAATCGGGTAACATTAAAATTGTCTAAATCGTGTAACAGCAAAATTGTCTAAATTGTGTAACGTCAAAATTGTCTAAATTGTGTAACAGCAAAATTGTAACAACAAATCTAAATCGTGTAACAGCAAAATTGTCTAAATTGTGTAACAGCAAAATTGTCTAAATCGTGTAACAGCAAAATTGTCTAAATCGGGTAACATCAAAATTGTTTAAATTGTGTAACAGCAAAATTGTCTAAATCATGTAACATCAAAATTGTCTAAATCGTGTAACATCAAAATTGTCTAAATTGTGTAACATCAAAATTGTTCAAATCGTGTAACATCAAAATTGTTTAAATTTGTAACAGCAAAATTGTCTAAATCCATGTAACAGCAAAATTGTCTAAATCGTGTAACAGCAAAATTGTCTTAATCGTGTAACATCAAAATTGTCTAAATCGGGTAACATTAAAATTGTCTAAATCGTGTAACAGCAAAATTGTCTAAATTGTGTAACGTCAAAATTGTCTAAATTGTGTAACAGCAAAATTGTCTAAATCGTGTAACAGCAAAATTGTCTAAATTGTGTAACATCAAAATTGTCTAAATCGTGGAACAGGAAAATTGTCTAAATCGGGTAACATCAAAATTGTCTAAATCGTGTAACAGCAAAATTGTATAAATCGGGTAACATCAAAATTGTCTAAATCGTGTAACATCAAAATTATCTAAATTGTGTAACATCAAAATTGTCTAAATCGTGTAACATCAAAATTGTTTTCATTGTGTAACAGCAAAATTGTCTAAATCGTGTAACAGCAAAATTGTCTAAATCGGGTAACATTAAAATTGTCTAAATCGTGTAACATTAAAAATTGTCTAAATCGGGTAACATCAAAATTGTCTAAATCAGGTAACAACAAAATTGTCTAAAATTGTGTAACATCAAATTGTGTAACATCAAATTTTAAATTGTGTAACATCAAAATTGTCTAAATCGGGTAACATCAAAATTGTCTAAATTGTGTAACATCAAAATTGTCTAAATCGTGTAACATCAAAATTGTCTAAATCGTGTAACATCAAAATTGTTTAAATCGTGTAACATCAAAATTGTCTAAATTGGGTAACATCAAAATTGTCTAAATTTATGTAACATCAAAATTGTTTAAATTGTGTAATATCAAAATTGTCTAAATCGTGTAACATCAAAATTGTCTAAATCGTGTAACAGCGAAATTGTCTAAATCATGTAACATCAAAATTGTCTAAATCGTGTAACATCAAAATTGTCTAAATTGTGTAACAGCAAAATTGTCTAAATCGTGTAACAGCAAAATTGTCTAAATTGTGTAACAGCAAAATTGTCTTAATCGTGTAACAGCAAAATTGTCTAAATCGGGTAACACTAAAATTGTCTAAATCGTGTAACAGCAAAATTGTCTAAATCGTGTAACATCAAAATTGTCTAAATTGTGTAACATCAAAATTGTCTAAATCATGTAACAGCAAAATTGTCTAAATCATGTAACATCAAAATTGTCTAAATCGGGTAACATTAAAATTGTCTAAATCGTGTAACATCAAAATTGTCTAAATTGTGTAACAGCAAAATTGTCTAAATTGTGTAACATCAAAATTGTTTAAATTGTGTAACAGCAAAACTGTCTAAATCGTGTAACATCAAAATTGTCTAAATCGGGTAACATCAAAATTGTCTAAATCGTGTAACAGCAAAATTGTCTAAATTGTGTAACATCTAAATTGTCTAAATTGTGTAACAGCAAAATTGTCCATCTCACAAAATGTTTAATATCTAAAAAAAACCATACCACTAATTGAGTTTCCTTTTTCAAGGTTTTCAAATAACACGTTTAGCCATATGGGCACTGTCTTTCTAAACATCACCCCTTATATCTGACCACCTAACTCCCCAGACTGCAATCCCCTTGATTATTATGTGTGGGGCGCAGTGGAACGAGAGATAAAAAAAAAAAAAACTCCTTGTAACACCAAAAATGAACCGAAGGCAAGGATTATGGCAGCATTCACCATCAAAAACAAGGAGGCCGTCCGGAAGACTTGCAATATATTCCGAAATCGTTGTGCAGGTCGTCGTTGAAGCCAATGGCGATTTTACGGAATAAATTTACACTTTACTATTTCAAGATGGTTTTGTGTAATTTTAGTAAATATATCTATTCAAATGCGATATCAGTGTTGTTTTCATTTTTGCGTAATTTAGACGACGATTTATCCAAACTTGATAACTTGAACAAGGAGACCATCCAGAAGAGTTGCGGGAGACTCCGAAGTCGTCTGGAGGCCGTGGTTGAAGCCAATGGCGATTTTGTTGAATACATTTACTCTTTAATATTTCAAGATATTTTTGTGTAATTTTGGTAACTATATCTCTTAAAAAGAGATGTCAGTGTTATTTCAGATAGATAGATAGATAGATAGATAGTTAGATAGATAGAAAATGAACAGACTGGGCTAGATAGATAGATAGATAGATAGATAGATAGATAGATAGATAGATAGAAAATGAACAGACTGGGCTAGATAGATAGATAGATAGATAGATAGATAGATAGATAGATAGATAGAAAATGAAAGATAGAAGATAGATAGATGAATAGATAGATAGATAGATGAATAGATAGATAGATAGATAAACAGATAGATAGATAGATAGATAGATAGATAGATAGATAGATAGATAGAAAATAAACAGACCTGGCTAGATAGATAGATAGATAGATAGATAGATAGATAGATAGATAGATAGATGATAGATATGAAAATAAATAGATAGATAGATAGATGATAGAATGATAGATAGATAGATAGATGAACAGAAAATGTGATATATATATATATATATATATATATATATATATATATATATATATATAGATAGATAGATAGAAAGAAAGAAAGAAAATGAACAAACTGGGATATATATATATATATATATATATATATATATATATATATATAGATAGATAGATAGATAGATACTATGAAAGTATTTGTTTTAAATAAATTGACTCAAATCCGCCATTATATATTTTTTATTCCATAATTTCGGTTACAAATGATCCCTTAGAATCTGAAAAGCGATGTAGTATAAATTGAGGCAATGCTATGATCATAACTTTGGATTTATTTAAAAGTTCAAATAAAGGCTTCATTTTTATCGTAACGAAATCTCACAAGAGTTTTACTGCGTAAAACACTTTCTCATCACAAATTCGAGTGTCGATATTTTGGGTTCATCAAGTCGTATTCCGGGAGTTGTTTTGGGTTCAAGAATGTAGTCTTAAAAATCGGTCTGGGCCCGTTTCTTAAAATAAGCACAAATCCTGGGATGACTTGCGACTCTACACCTGAGGGCACGAATCTTTGGATAGTCTTTCAACATGTTAGGATTATCAACTAACGGGTTTTCCAAGGCGGCATAGCACATCATATCACACAGCCTGATCTGTTCAGAAAAAAGAGAAAGAAAAAGAATTAGATTGAATAAATTGAGATGTTCCAGATTTTATCTTTTCAATTCAAAGAATAATCACTTTTGTCGACAGTCAGCTTCGATAAATTAAATTCATTGATGCATTTCGTAAAATACATCTATTGGATGCTTTAATACACATCATCAGTGATGTTTCTAGCCGAGGTCCAATAGGGGTTTCGGGTCTTTCAACATCATACCCCACCTCTCCATGGTGACCCAGCCGATACTGATCGGGTATCGATTTGTGTACCTTCCGTCAGCTACAACTTTTTTCATCTGTCGAAATGCACACCATACGACTCTTCTTGGCAATTTATTGTCCATTCGCGGATGACTTCCGGTTAACCAGCAGTATTCGCTCTTCCGTAAAAAAGGAAGGAAAGACAGTTACAATTTCTATCTGATCAGGAATATGGCAGCATGTTTAGCTTGAAGTGGTAAGTACAGATTTTATCCCCCCCCCCGAGACATATACGCACACACAGAGAAACGCACTCAAACATCATATTCTGCTTACACTTATCACCATTTTCAGTCAGGTTAATTATCAGGCTAAAAAAAAAGGACACGAAAAAAAAAATATATTGCACAAATTATACAAATTTTTAATTATTAACGTATGACATGATGGCTGAGTGGTTAGAACGATCGCATTCTGATCATAAGACCCGGGTTCGAATCTCACCATGGTCGATTTGTCATTAAGGAGAGTTTCTGGTGTTATCAGACTGGAAGGTTCGATCCCAGCGTGAGGCACCTTTGGAAAGTGCCTGAAAACCATACCACGGGTTGACCCAAGCCTTGTGAGTGAAATTGGGTGGACGGAACACTTGAGGTGCCGTCGACAACACGAAATCACAAGTCTTCCGACGGCTTGAGTGAGCTGACCTTGTTCATTACGCCCTTTCACAGAAACTGCTATGGTCTGCTCAGCATATTTGCAGTATAAACCACAGATGCGCTGTGTAGGTGTTGAATACACAACACAAATGCGCCTGAGCGCACTAGGAATTGGCTGGCTGCCCTAGTAGACAGGTATTCTCGAATACATGCATAGACATACATATATACCATTATTTACATTCTGAAACCAAATATGTAAAAACTTACTTTATCACCAAGGCACTCAAGTCGATATTTTGCAAAAAGGTTGACAGATATTGACTCTTCAGATGACCTAGCTATGACTGCAGACACCATTACCAATGCCACAGTTCTTCTTCTACATCATATCTATCTATAAAAGGCAGGATGTGTGTGTGTGTATGTGTGTGTGTGTGTGTGTGTGTGTGTAACGAATGCACGGCCGAAATTTTTGACGGATTTGCACCAAAATTTACGTGCACATGCTCCAAGTTAGCTAGAAGGCCAAGACCGACTTTGCATTTCCCAACTCCCATCGATAGTGGAAATAATCGATTTTTTTCATGCTTCTACGGCAGTTGTCATGTAGCGGTCATTTTCTACTAGCCAGAGTGAGAGCCTACAGCTGGCTGCCACGAATAGGCAGGAAGATTCTATTGGCCAGCGTGAGTGCCAACAGCTGACTGACACGAATGTTAACTAGAATGCGAGCATGCAAAAAAAAAATCAATAGCTGCATTCGTCACAAGTGGGAAAAATTTTAAATCTGCATGGCACTTTACTCCAATTGGCTCATTCGCTTGCTTAAACTCAACGTTGATTCTGATTCCGCAGAACTGGGTTGGGTGTGAAAAAAGTATTTGTTGTTAACATTCTTTTTTATTTGGTTTTTCCAGTTACGAGTCCTTTTTTAAAGCTGATCGTTTTGTGTTCATTTGTTTAGTTCTTTTTTCGTAACAGATTTAATGTTTAGTATAGAGCTTAGAAAAAATTCGCAGTGTGAGATAGGCAAGAAGTAAGGCATGTAGCAACATCAGCACGGCAAAGGGAACTCCTTTAAAGGCAAGGAAGGGCAAAAATATTTTAAGTCAAATGATAGCGATTGCTGTATGCGTCGTACGATTTTTGAATCAAGCACGGGCAACGCCGGGCCATGCTGCTAGTTTGGAATATACGTTACACTATGGTAATGCCTCTAAAACTGAATTCATAAGCTTCAACCAGCCAGGCTCAATGTAAACTGTATCAGGTGAATCAATAAAATCTATTGAATTTATTACATACCTAGAAGCGAAATAATTTCTAGTGAAAAGGATGTGAAAATTCGCATAGCTAAAGCCTTGAATAAAATGGATTGTAATCTGAAAATTTGATCTGCTAGACAACCTCAAGCGGAGATTCTTTTGAGCTACTGTAGAGGCGGTTTTAATGTATGGTGCCTCTGCCTAGACATTAACTAAAATCCTAGAGTCTAACCTTGATGGAACCAATACTAAAATGGTGAGAGCTATAATTAAAATCTCTTGGAGACAGCATCCAACTAAATCACAGCTCTATGAACCCAATCTCTGATATTTCTACAATGCGCTTTGCAGGACAAAAGAAAAACAAGTGATCTACTGTTCTGGACATCTAACAATGGATTAAGACAGGTTGGTCACCCAGCAACTACTTACATTGAACAGCTATGTGATGACACAGAATGCCGCCCTAATGACCTTTCGACTTTGATGCAAGATCATGATGGTTGAAATGATAGACTCATGAATGTTAACTCGACCGAACAAAAATATATATCTAGAAACACAAATAATACTGATTCGTCCACACTACACCTCCCACGCTCTAACTTTGCAAGTCAGATCAGACCAAAAAATATTGCTGGGCTTATGTTGCCTTTTCAGCCTTGACAGAATTCAAAAGCTTATATGCAGCATTACGGATGATTTCCACGATTCAACACCTAGCACAGGAACGAAACGTCTCAAGTTTCTTGCTACTCTGTAGCTGAAAACTTTCTAAATAGCTATATTCCTTATTTCCCCCAATTACCACCTACCATTCCACGTTCACTAGAACGAATCGGTCTCATTCCTTTTGTATTCTATAGGTAGGAAGGGCTTTCTATTCGGCCAGCTTCTCTCCACGAGGCCCCACTTTGTATATAAAAGACTTCAGAGGGGTTGCTTTCCTCTAGACCGCAATAATCTTAACTTCCTCAAGTCTAGCGTCTACCGGTATCTTTCCTGCATATCATCATACGTATATCTTACCATCTCCTCATACAATAACCTCAATGATACCCCCGAGTGGATGCTTTCCTGATCGCTACAATCTTAAATTCTTCAAGTCTAGTGTCAACCGTTATCTTTCTTACATATCCTTATAATCTGAACATCTTACCTCCTCCTCTTACGTTCATACAACAATCTCATTCAGACTCCCGAAAGGATGCTTTCCTGATCGCTACAATCTTATCTTTTTCAAATCTCGAGTCAACTGTTAACTTTCCGACATATTATCATAACCAGCATTTCTTACCTCCTTCTCTTAACATTCATACAACAAACACATTAGGGTTAGACTCTCTCTTGAGCGGCTCTTGGACCTTGTATTGGCTGAACAATAATAAAAGAGATAATGATAGTAATTTTTATAACAAAATATGCACATTGAGATTTGGCCAAATTACTTATAAACAAGTTGAATTGAGACCATTTTAATAATAATGATAATGATAAAAATATTAATGAAAAAACTTAAGACATCCGACATGTGGTTCTACAGAAGGATGCTGAGAATACCATTGACTGTACATGTGAGCAACTAGGGAGATTTAGAGAAAATGAAAAAAGGACACCTACCGTATATACTCGAGTGTAGTCTGAGTTTTAGGTTCAGTTTTTTACGTAAAAATAGGGGGCGGATTATGCAAAAGTAATATGTTTGGTAGAGGTTAAAAATCATGCATTTTCGGTGACCAGTTGCACTATATACAGACAAGTTTTTTTTTCTGGAGAGGTTAAAATTCATGCGAAAAAAGGTCCCACTATACATACAGTCGGCTTATAGGCGAATATATATATATATGTGTGTGTGTGTGTGTGCGTGTATATATATATATATATATATATATATATATATATAATAAAACGACTTAAACACTAATAAACCATGGTCATAATTTATTCCATTGGAATCGTAAATACGATCCAATTCATCAGACCTACAAATTCAAAATGAAAACAGAAAAAACAACTCCGGAAATAAAAACAGAATTTAGAGAGAGTGTAAGTATGACGAGGAGGGAAATTAAACCTTAACAGAGAGAATTTTAGGAGAGGTGGGTGGAAGGGGTTTAAGAAAGAGAAAAATGATTAATTATTGTTTTTTCTGTGTTCTTTTTGAATTTGTAGGTCTGATGAATTGGATCGTATTTACGATTCCAATGGAATAAATTATGACTATGGAATATATATACGGTATACTTGGCATCAGAGAGATATAGTTCAGATCTGAGGAAAGAAGCCTTGAAAGATGTGAAGAAGAAGAAGGAGGAGGAAGAGAAGAAGGAGGAAGAGAAGAAGAAGAAGAAGAAGAAGAAGAAGAAGAAGAAGAAGAAGAAGAAGAATGAGGAGGAAGAGTAGGAAGAAGAAGATTTGAAGAAATCTTACCTGGTCTCCCATGTAAAAATGGTTGCCATTGAAGTACATATTGAGTGTTTTCTCCATAAAAGGAAGAATGCGGCGACATGTGTCATTGTACTGTTGTCGCCAATCAGCCTACAAAATAAGCATATCTATATTATAAAAGAAGAGACCCAACTCTCTGTCCTTCACTCCCTGCGTCTGTCATTGCATACGCCAATGTCATCTATACACGTATGTCTGTGTTGTACGTTAATGACTTACACGTGTCTGTTCCATTTAATGTGCACACAAGCACAAAATCACGCACAATCTGGTCGAGTTTGAAATAAGACAGTAGAATAATGCATTCCCCCTCCCATTCAGTCTGGACAATCCCTACTTAGGGTTGAGCAATATAAATAACATACTGGAGGCAAAGAAAGACATTACTTTTCAAAGTCTTAAGAAAAAATCAAATAATTGTAAGATTTGATTGAACTTTTCGTACATTATACGATAAAGAGATTTTTTTAGCAAACATGGATAAACGCGGCCGTAATAAGACGTAATGTAAAAAGGACGGCTACTCCCTTAACAAGCGATGATTAGAATTGGAATAAAACCTAAACAAATGATGAAAATGAATTTATACATGTATAATTCATCTACCTTCACTTTTCGGCAATGTTTATTGTTTTAAAAAGCGATGATTAGAATTGGAATAAAACCTAAACATATGATGAAAGTGAATTTATACATGTATAATTCATCTACCTTCACTCTTCGGCAATGTTTATTGTTTTAAAAAGTGATGATTAGAATTGGAATAAAACCTAAACATATGATGAAAGTGAATTTATACATGTATAATTCATCTACCTTCACTTTTCGGCAATGTTTATTGTTTTAAAAAGTGATGATTAGAATTGGAATAAAACCTAAACATATGATGAAAGTGAATTTATACATGTATAATTCATCTACCTTCACTCTTCGGCAATGTTTATTGTTTAAAAAGTGATGATTAGAATTGGAATAAAACCTAAACATATGATGAAAGTGAATTTATACATGTATAATTCATCTACCTTCACTCTTCGGCAATGTTTATTGTTTTAAAAAGTGATGATTAGAATTGGAATAAAACCTAAACATATGATGAAAGTGAATTTATACATGTATAATTCATCTACCTTCACTTTTCGGCAATGTTTATTGTTTTAAAAAGCGATGATTAGAATTGGAATAAAACCTAAACATATGATGAAAGTGAATTTATACATGTATAATTCATCTACCTTCACTCTTCGGCAATGTTTATTGTTTTTAAAAAGTGATGATTAGAATTGGAATAAAACCTAAACATATGATGAAAGTGAATTTATACATGTATAATTCATCTACCTTCACTCTTTGGCAATGTTTATTGTTTTAAAAAGCGATGATTAGAATTGGAATAAAACCTAAACATATGATGAAAGTGAATTTATACATGTATAATTCATCTACCTTCACTCTTCGGCAATGTTCATTGTTTGAAAAAGCAATGATTAGAATTGGAATAAAACTTAAACAAATGATGAAAATGAATTTATACATGTATAATTCATCTACCTTCACTTTTCGGCAATGTTTATTGTTTTAAAAAGCGATGATTAGAATTGGAATAAAACCTAAACATATGATGAAAGTGAATTTATACATGTATAATTCATCTACCTTCACTCTTCGGCAATGTTTATTGTTTTAAAAAGTGATGATTAGAATTGGAATAAAACCTAAACATATGATGAAAGTGAATTTATACATGTATAATTCATCTACCTTCACTCTTCGGCAATGTTTATTGTTTTAAAAAGTGATGATTAGAATTGGAATAATATCTAAACATATGATGAAAGTGAATTTATACATGTATAATTCATCTACCTTCACTCTTCTGCAATGTTTATTGTTTTAAAAAGTGATGATTAGAATTGGAATAAAACCTAAACATATGATGAAAATGAATTTATACATGTATAATTCATCTACCTTCACTCTTCGGCAATGTTTATTGTTTTAAAAAGTGATGATTAGAATTGGAATAATATCTAAACATATGACGAAAGTGAATTTATACATGTATAATTCATCTACCTTCACTCTTCGGCAATGTTTATTGTTTTAAAAACATATGAAAGTGAATATATATATATATGTTTTTGGTTCTTGACAATTGACAACAAAAATAATAAACACTATCTATTTGATGAATTTAAGCGCAGTACTAGATTGGCGGTAAGGTCCCATCAATTTACAGTTCAAATAGCTAGATGTAACAGTAATTTCTATGCTAACACTTTCTTCTGTTGCACTTCTCTCTTGTAGAACTCTCTCTCGGCTCCTCCCTTTCCAGTCAACTTTAATCTGCAAAAATTTAAATTCAATGTCAATCGTTATCTTCTTAATTGATATTCTTTTATTGTCCTCACTGCCTAATAGCAGTTATTCTTACATTATCTAACACTCAGTAACCCCTTCCGTCCTAGTGGCTTTATTGCCTTCATTGAGATGTAATGATTTTTAAAAAATTTATGAGGGAAAAAAGTGTTGAATCAAATATTTATTAATCAACTGAATTCTTTTGTTTTACTATAAAATTAAATTTTAACCATGAACAAGTTTTAAAATTCAACATGAGCAATCTTTGGATTCATGGATTTAAATAGAAAGACCAATTTTGTTGCTTTATCTGCACCAAGATGGTTTCTCAGTTTGGAATGCACCTGTCTATAGGACAAGAAAACTTGTTCATCACCAGAAGATGAAGCCACTGCTGACAGGAGTAAATCACTATTCAACACACTTTTAAATTTTAAAATTCAACGCGAGCAATCTTTGGATTCATGGATTTAAATAGAAAGGCCATTTTTGCTGCTTTATCTGTACCAAGATGGTTTCTCAGTTTGGAATGCACCTGTCTATAGGACAAGAAAACTTGTTCATCACCATGAAGCTACTGCAGGCACGAGTTGCTTAACCGTAGAAAGTAAATCACTATTCAACACACTTAAATTAAAACCAATACAGAAATTGAAAAACGCAGATCTAAGTTTAAAAAAAGCAAAACTGTCTGGCACTCTTGCTACTAGTCCTAAAACCTTACAAGATTATTTATGTACAAGTCAGTCACACATCGCTGAGGATCAACCTGTTAACCTGCTATTTTAAAATACTGTGAGAATAAAATAGATTTATGACCTAATTTGAAAAGAAATAACAAAAACAAGGCTGTCTATATTTCTGAGACAAGGTATTGTAACTATTTAAACTATTTACAATGTTCGGACTATTGCTCTAAACTTTATTGCCATATTCACGACGTTTCGGCCGTTGTACACCTCCTGTCTTCTTCAGGAACTGTCTAAATTTCTGAGATGAGGTACTGTAAATATTTAGACTATATACAAAGTTCGGACTATTGCCCTCATCGTTATTTTCATATTCACGATGTTTCGGTCGTTGTACACCCCGGACTTCTTCAGGTGATATACGTTGGAATTTCGAACCCTTTATTTCGACAATCGGTGTAGAGGGTTATTGATATTTTTTATTTAAGAAAAAGAAATTTAAATCGGATTAAAAAAAAAATTAAATCGAATTTTTTTTTTTTTTTTGTCAGAAAATTACTCACCTTTCTTGTGGGATCTTTTTCGTTGTACATCCTGAGGAAGTCGTCTAAAATTTCATAGAAACAGTCACAAATGTAATCGATTCTGGCCATCTCTAGGTTGGTCTTTCCGTAGAACCCTACCATGAAACAACATGAAAATAAAGGCAGGTATTAAATACGATATGGGGCTCGAGGATTTTACAAAACTATGAATGTACTGACTTTCTGAAAAAAAGGTTCATTATTGATCTCTCCCTTAAAAAAGATTTGCTTTCCTTGCAATATATTGTACTCGAACACTGATTATAGACTTTGTAGGAAGTTGAACACTAAAAGATAAATTATTTAAAAAAATAGTTTTAAAATAAGGTTATCATTAATATTATTACTTGCGTAGATGCCATATCCCCTCAAGATTAATTTGTTAAGTCTATAAACAAGTTAAAAAAAAGAAGCAAATACAAAAATCATGAAGATTGAAATAGTTGTGGTTGGAGCTTTGGGTCTGATAAAGAAAGGAACTCAACAACAAATCCCAAAAAGCTTTGTTCATTTAAGGTTTTTTTTTTTAATTCCTGTTTGTTGTTTAATTAAGTGGAAACAACAAAAACATCACATCGTTCGGTGTCCTAGTTCATTGGTTATGTAACTGTAAAAAAAAACAGGTCAAAAATAGTTTTTTAAATAATAAATTTGACGCATGAGGACTACAAAAGGGTACATTATAATGATACATTTGAAATTACACGGCATATATGGATTAGATTGTTGAGTGATTGATTTTTATGGTTTACAACCCATTGTGGGTTATTTAAAGCATATTTTTGATTGCAGCAATTATTCTTTTGTTTGCGAGTAAATATTGCATTAACAGTTTTGGAGGGATAACAATGATTTTTTAACTATTTAACCCATAACTGGAGGGGAAAAGATGGATTTATACTGACAGTATTTGCGCGAAATTGAATGCAGTCAACTTCCTGATTTCTCACTGCGAGCCGCTATCGGTTAATACCCCGTATGCATTAAGAAAGTTAGAAACGTGATACGAACAAATTTCCAAAGGTGCCATTCAAAATGACAAGTGTAATATTTTGTGAGGGGTCGTCAATCAATGAGACCAGCTGAAGAAAGAACATGTAACATCATAGATAGTGCATGTCCCGGGAGAATAGAGTTGTCAATCAAATAAAAGAACAGGTAAACTATGATAGTTTAAAATGAGAAGCGTATAAATGTTGCTCCAAGAAGAGAGTGTAAATGAACGACATTGTTGTTGGCGATCTGGTAACCAAAATTAATGAACTTCTAAAAGGGTTGGAGAAGATTAGGATCAATGTCAAGATTGAACTCTGACAGATGATTTTGGGGTCTGTCCATATACTCCGGTGTTTTCTCAAAATGTGCAACTTCAGACAAGTGTTTGCGAACAATTTTGATTGATTCCTTTTTTACGGCTTATCAATCCTTTTCAGGTTATTTAAAGTTATAAAATATTTTTTTAATGAAGCGGTGGTGGTGGTGGTGGTGGTGGTGGGGGTAATATTGATTTAGCTATACAAGCCATACTAATTAACCCAGAGCTGGAGTGGAGGAGAAGTGGATTCTTACCTTTCCCGAGGGTATTTGTGCGCAAGCAAATATAACGAACCCAATGGGAATTAGAACTCGGCATTTCGAATAACAACACCAAGCCATCATCCATTACACCTCCCGCACATCCAGGCTTACAGCACCTGATTTTCTAAAGTTGTCAATCATCTAGGTACTGATCGGGCTCAACGTTGCTTAACTTTGGTGATCGTACAGGGATCCGTGTTTCAATGTGATATGCCCTTAAGCAGCTGGTGTACTTGTTCTATCTCCAGAAACAACAACAACAACAACAATAATAATAGTTGTTATGGGATCTTACCAATAATAATAATAATGGACTATTCTATACTTAATAAATACTGCGCCTCAGGAGTAGGCAAGGAGTCTGTCGTTCACTTTCTGAGCGACGGTTCGGTTTACCTCTCTGTCTCTACGTCGAAGGGCGGACGGAGGTAAAACCGGGAACCCGTTTATACGGTTTCAATGGGCTATTTTTGGGCGAGCCTAAAGGCCGGAAATACGCCACATGACGGTGGGGGACGACTCCTGTCGCTCACTTTCTGAGCGACGGTTCGGGTCTAAGGACGGAGAGGAACCCGAAGGAGGCTACGCTGAAGGCGGAATCTCCTTCTCGGCCCTGAACCCGTTTATACGGGTTCAAATTGGGCTATTTTTTTGCCGAGCCTAAGGGCTCGGAAAGCCCACGTTAAAAAAGGCCTTGTGCCACATGACGCCCTCGTGGGGGACGACTAAATATAGTCAGTCGCTCACTTTCTGAGCGATTGTTCGGTTAAACTCTCTTCCTACGGGCGGGAGGAACCCGAAGGAGGCTACGCCGAAGGGCGGAGTCTCCTTCGGGGAGGTCGCTCGGCCCAGAACCCGTTTATACGGGTTCAAATGGGCTATTTTTGGCCGAGCCTAATGGTTCGGGAATGCCCACGTTAAAAGGCCTTGTGCCACATGACACCCTCGTGGGGGGTGACTGAATATCGTCAGTCGTTCACTTTCTGAGCGACTGTTCGGTTAAACTCTCTTCCTACGGGCGGGAGGAAACCGAAGGAGGCTACGCCGAAGGGCGGAGTCTCCTTCGGGAGGTAAAACTCGGCCCAGAACCCGTTTATACGGGTTTAAATGGGCTATTTTTTGGCCGAGCCTAATGGCTCGGGAATGCCCACGTTAAAAAGGCCTTGTGCCACATGACACACTCGTGGGGGGGTGACTGAATATCGTCAGTCGTTCACTTTTGAACAGACTTCTGGGTTTGAACTCTTTTCCTACGGGCGGGAGGAACCCGAAGGAGGCTACGCCGAAGGGCGGAGTCTCCTTCGGGAGGTGGGGGCTCGGCCCTGAACCCGTTTATACGGGTTCAAATGGGCTATTTTTTGGCCGAGCCTAATGGCTCGGGAATGCCCACGTTAAAAAGGCCTTGTGCCACATGGCACCCTGGTGTGTGGGGGGGGGGTGACTGAATATCGTCAGTCGATGTCAGTACTTTCTGAGCGACTGTTCGGTTGTACTCTCTTCCTACGGACGGGAGGAACCCGAAGGATGCTACGCCGATGGGCGGAGTCTCCCTCGCGGAGGTAGACCGGCCCTGAACCCGTTTATACGGGTTCAATGGGCATATTTTTGGCCGAGTCCACGGGCTCGGAGATCTCACGTTAAACCGGCCTTGTGCCACATGATGCCTACGTGTGTGTGTGTGGGGGACTAAATATACTCAGTAGTTCAAGTCGAGTCAAGAGTCGAGTCAGAGGCAGTCCGAAACAGAATCGCGTTCAGACAATTACTTACAAGACATTGGAATAGCGATACTGGTCGAGACTACATTGTTCTATCTACTAAACCTGATTGTTCATATTAACACTTCTACTTCTCTGTATATATTCCTGTTTGTAATATATCTGTGTTATTCCATATCCGTATTCGAGTTCTTCTTTATTGGTTCTACCTTGGACTATCACCCGTGGTACAAGGAACCGGACCATAACAATAGCGATAAAGTCGAGTCAAGATTCGAGTCAGAGGCAGTCCGAAACAGAGTCGCGTTCAGACAATTACTACTAAACCTGATTGTTCATACTAACACTTTCTACTTCTCTGTATATATTCCTGTTTGTAATATATCTGTGTTATTCCATATCCGTGTTCGAGTTCTTCTTTATTGGTTCTACCTTGCGATAAAGTCGATCAAGACGAGTCAGAGGCAGTCCGAAACGTGGTACAACCTGATTGTTCGTACTAACAGTTTCTCTTCTCTGTATATATTCCTGTTTGTAATATATCTGTGTTATTCCATATCCGTGTTCGATAACTTGGACTATCACCCGTGGTACAAGGAACCGGACCATAACAATAGCTTGATAAAATTATGTCAGAGGCAGTCCGAAACAGAGTCCGTTTTTACTAAACCTGATTGTTCGTACTAACGGTTTCACTTCTCTGTATATATTCCTGTTTTTTATATCGTATATCCGTGTTCGAGTTTTTCAAAATAATGATATTGTTTATCATAAATTATGCATGCCTTTTTTTTTTTCTTCGGTTTCCTCGTATTTTTCAAAATAATTTATTGTTTTCAAAATAAGTAACGGCTGCAAACCAATGTGCATGAATGTATTTATTTACCATCATGTCATGTGACACAATTTTCCAGCCATACAGATTGTTTGACAATGACACATCCACATAGCTTCTTCACCAATCAAATAGTTGCCAAATATCCAAGATATTTGTTTATAAAACATTATGAATTGTATTAATTAAGTATATCTTGTGTTATGCATATTTAAATTTATTTAATAATGTTGTTAGAATGTATGATGAATGTTCATTGTTTTTCACACATATAATAGTTTAAATATAATATGTAAGTGTTTTTTATATACGCGGATTAATATAAGAATGTGTGTCGAAAACATTTACTGAATTTCCTGTTAAAAATACTGTAAAAACAGAAAAACGGCTGTAAGCCAAGAACCCTCTATCTGATTTTAATGAGCAGCACTCGGCAGGGTTTTAATGTATAATACGCTCCTAAATTGGTTAGGTATTGTGTATTGTGTAGCTGTATCTCGAGAAGAAACATATATACATACAGGATTAGCGTTTTTGTATCATATAGATACTACTACTACTAATAATAAATGCAATGTACCAAATGCAGAAACAATGGCAAGATAAATCGCTTCATAGTCAATACTGTACCCGAACCAAACAAGCTGATGTAGACAAGTACCGTACCCTATCAGCGGGTACGTAGTGCCGGGTTAAAAGCTGAAACTGAAAGTTTTATTCTTGCTGCATAAGACTTATCCTTGCTAACTAGAAATTACCAAGCACACATATTGAAAAATTGTGTTGACCGCAGATGCAAATCATGCGATAAATATCCAGTAACAATTGGCCATCTTGTATCAGGTTCCACGGTGTTAAAAAAAATATAAAACTCGGCATGATTGAGTGGGCCAATATCTGAATTGGAAAATAAGCAACTTTTATTGGAAGGAAGCTGCAAGAAACTGGTCTGGACATCACCCAGACCCGGTTACAGAGATAGGACCTGGAACAATTTTATGGGACTTTACAACGCACACGGACAGAACAATCAAATTGAATCTCTCAGACATCTTGATCAAAGACCACAAAAACAGAATATGCTTTCTTATTGACATGGCTGTCATTGTAGATTGTAATATATCTTTGAAGATATTCAAGAAAACTATCAAAATGCAAGGATCTTGAATTGGAAATCTTAAAAATGTGTCACGTGAAGACATCAATAATTCCATTTGTAGTTGGAGCCCTCGGATTCATAGGGAAAACTTCCGATAGACTTATTGAAGGGATTTCTGGTAGGGCATATTTAAAGAAGTATAAAACATTGAACTCACAAATACAATGTGATCTTAGGCTTATTTTTTGTTTTTTACAAAAATGATCTGGAAAATGTCATGAAGTCATTTCTGAACTTAGGTCTCTGGTTGGGACCCGGAAGAAAATGTGTATACAACAGAAATTAAATGAAATAATTAATAATAATAGATGTCGTCTTTATGACTCACCGTATTCTCTTGCCAAGTACCTAGCAATGGCCATACTCTGGGGCATCTGGGCTTTACCGTCGATCTCCAAGACAGGCAACATGGAACCAGGCATTTCTAAAATATGACAATTAAATGAATGACGATTAATGAACTGGAATATTTTTTCAATTAAAATCAGAAGCAAATTACTAATTCAAAATATCTCATCTTAATGAAATTTTTATTTACAGAATTTGACAAAACACATGACTTCAACAGCAGTTTTATAAACACAGAGAATTTACTACCAACTTTTTGTAGTCAAGATTCCTTATTTGAAGCATTGAAAGTTTACATGGTTTTGTTTTTGTTTTTTCATAAAAAGGCTCGGGTTACTTTATTTACTTATATAACATTCACAGAAATAGAAATTTTAACAATATAAGATACGATGAAACAGACGGATCTCCTAGAAGAAAGCGTGAAAAAAGGACTAACTATGAACTGCAAAATGGCGGAAACTATGTTCATCAGCAAGAGAAAAAGTTCATGATGCGAGTTACATATTTGAGATATAAACATCAAACAGGTGCTTCAAATATCTGGGAAGAATTTTAACAAAGGATGGAAAATACGGCACCGAAATCCGAACACGTATTAGACTAGGGAAAGAAGCATTCCAAAAGTCAAGCAAGATGCTGAGAAACAGAAAGATTTCGTTAGAAAAAAATGTGTTGCATATCAATCCTCTTATATGAAAGTGAATGTTGGACGGTTTTCCTATTTGAATATTCTGATGAATATCCACGAATGAGGAAAAAAAACTAGAGGCAGCAGAAATGTGGTTCTGCAGAAGGATACATCATCATCTTGCGGCCTCAGCCGAGATTGAACTCACCAATACTTTGATTGGTGTAGTTCATAATCTTGTCAAATAGCTGAATTCTTGATGCTTCGCTAGGGCTATCAAGGGTGTTTTTATCGTGACACCAACACTAAATGGATTGCCAGCCAAGGCTCAGAGAGACTCCATTCACCCTCCTCTAAGAGCAGGTTTGAATTCAGAGTTTTCCTTCTCCTAGACCAGTTGCCATCCAAGGCTATAGAACCCAGTCTGTCCTGCTATTTACCCATAGATGGAGGGAGAAGAAAGAGAATTCACACCTTTCCCAAGGGTGTTAGCACGTAAGTGAATGTAATGGATTCGACTGGAATTCTAACTCGGCTCTCCGATTCCTCAATCCAAGCCGCTATCCATTACTCCACCGTGCCTCCAGAAGGATACTGAGAATCCTGTGGACGGAGCGTGGAAGAATCAAGGAAGTCTTAAAGAAAATGGCAACAAAAAGAATACTCAAAATCAGGAAAAAAAGTTGAAATTCCTTGGACACATAATGATGAAGGAGGGCTTGGAAAACCTAACCCTCACAGGGCATATCGAGGGCAAGAGAGATAGAGGCAGTGAGCGGCTTATGTGACGTGCTTAGATAGCAGAATGGAAAAGCTTATAAGAGTCACACGATATTGGAAGCTATGATATCCTATGACCTGAATGGTCGCAAGAAGAAGAAGAAACACACTCACTATAACACAAACCTCATTATAGCTTCTAATTCTACCTTCTTCATTTTTTAAATACTAGAAGTAACAGTGAGAACGTCATGGTTTTCCTATTTGAATTTTCTGACGAATCTTTCTACTTAAGATAATGATTGAATAAGCCCATGGCTGGTTCTACGACAAAAAAATAATCATAGAAATTCCCCTTATCGTATCGTTAAATATTTGAGCTTAACAACTTTAACAAAATATTGCAATAACATTAATAAATATGAATGTTGGCCCTTATTTTAAGAAGTAAGGGGGTACAAATGAAAAAGACGTGAACTGAAAACTTTTTCCACTTCTCTGAAACAAATGTTAACTACTTCTATCTTCCCTTCCATCCTGGGTCAGACGATAAACTATGTCCAGCAGCAAGGCCTCTGATCAGGAAGTTTGAGGAGCGTGGAACCACCTGTTAATTGCTGATGTTCCCAGGTCTACCCTGAACCGAGGTGGTAGCACCTGTTAGGGTCCCAGCTACGGGCAAATAGTTAACCCCTAAACTGGGGTTAAAACACTATGAAAGTGTAAAAATAGTTTTTAATATCAGAAATACTTTGTAAAAAAAAAATACCAGCAATACATTTTTGAAAACAATATATAACCATACATTTAAAAAATATATGTTACCAGCGAAGAAAAATTCTTACCGGAAATAGATTTTTGAAGGAAAAAATATTACCAACAAAGAAAATTCTGTTGGCATTAGATAACCCATTGATGTTAATATGCCGTAAAACAAAACAAATCAAACCAAACTATCTTCCCTTTTTTCTTTCTTTCATTTTCTCACTGAAACCATGTAATGTCTTTTCCGTCATTCAACGCGATTAAATCGGAATAGTCCATTATTTATGAAGTATTGCCTGTAGACATTAAATACTTATATCTTTCCGTCTTCATTCTTTCTTTCAGTTTCTCACTTAAACTAAATAGCCTGTCAAATATATCTTTTCCGTCTTTCAATGCGATCCAAACGGAAGAGTACATTATTTATGAGGCATTGTCAAGAGACGTTAAACTGTTGTGCTACCTACGGGAGGGGCAGGAAGATTTATATTAAGACTAGCTTAAAAGCCGCCCTATCTTGCGGAGGGCTCTTGATTGGGCCTTCATTACCATAGATAGGAAGGATTAGATGCGATACGCAACAATTAATTACAGAAAAACTCAAAACTGATCGCTTCATTTAAGTTTTGCATTAATAATTAAGCTTACTTCTTAAAAGTTCAACGATAATTTTTCCTGCCACCACTTAATTTAAAGAAAAGTTTATGTACGTAGGTCCTTACTTTCCATACAAACAATTATTTTTATTTCATAGGTGACTTTCGTTGGATTTCGCAATTAATTTCGATTATTCCCAAATTTATTGCCAAGTTATAAAAATTGTTTTCGTACAAAAAAATTTCGTCGCAAAAAATCACATAAAAAATCGTCGAAAACAATCGGAGTAATGAAAACTTGGGAATCCAGAATTTCAGGATTGAGGGTCCGGATCCTGTCCGGAATATTTTTAATTTGCTCACAGAGTTGGCCTAATTCCAAATTGCTATGATATTTTGAACTACGGCCTCTAGGTAAAAGTTGAAAACACAGACAATTTTATTTTGAAACGCTGTAATTTTTTCATTTGAACTTGAGCTATTGAAAGTTGTGTCCCTTTAATTGTTTTTATCAGTCAAAATGGCGGAATCCGAAAACAATAGCTTTAATGAAAACTTGGGAATCCAAAATTTCAGGATTGCGGTTCTAGATCTGGCTTGGAATGTTTTTAATTTAATCACGGAGTTGGCCTGATTCCAAAATGGCATCATATGTTGGACTACGGCCTCTAGGAGTAAAGTTGAAAAAGTGTGACACACTGGCATTCCATCTGCCCAATGATAAAGCTTATATTTTCCTACGTTTCATTTGATTATTGCTAACGGTATATTATAATTTTAATTGGTTAAGTAACAAAAATAAATAAAATTATAGATTAGTAGCTTTTTGAGATATAAAACAGTCACTTCAAGGCCTTCTTCCGAATAAAAATAACTGTCATACGCAACGAAATATCTCTTTGTAGTCACCAAATATAAACAAGCATGTTACTATGTGGGTATCGATAAACCTATTATGAATCAGAAAATTTGCGACACTGAAATTCGGATGTGCATTAGGTTAGGGATATATGCTTTCCAAAAGCTAAGCAAAATATGAAGAAACAGGAAAAATTTGTTACAAATACAGATCACAACAATCTTAACCTAGTCAAGTCTGGAGTTAATCGTCATGTTCTCGTCCGATCCGTATAAACTGCCTCGGGATTTAACCCTCCACTGCGTGTGGCCCCAGGCTTTGTACAGGGTGAAGCTTACTGTTAAAAATAAATTTAAAAAAACAGAAACGAGCACTGAATTGTTATGTGATATCAGTCCTCCTATATAACAATGAATGCTGGACAATCTCCTCACAGATGAAGAGGACACTTGAAGCAAAAGAAATATCGTTCTACAGAAGGATGCTGAGAATGTGTGAGCAACAGCAAAGCTGAAACGAAAAGGACACATACTTAACGTCAGGAAGAGAGAGTTGAAAATTCTAGGGCACATAATGAGGAAAGAGGGCTTGGAAAATTTGATACCCACAGGGCAGATTGAAGGCAAATGGAACAGAGGTAAACAACGCATAACTTGAGTGGACGGATGACGGGGCGAGATTTGAGAGAGATAACAAAAAGACATTTATTCAGAGCTACAAAGGACAGGAAATCGTGGAGAGTCATGATCGTCTACGTCTTGAAGGGACACAGAAAAAGAAGATGAAGCATTGTTTTCTTTAATCGTTTATTGACGGAATCTCATTTGGAGTTTCAGTGCCAAGACGGAGCCATTTTCACATGACCTCACTTGCAACAAAAAAAAACGATGTAAAATCATAGAACACAGAAAACAATCATAAAAACCGCCATTGAAATGTCCAGATGCGCAAAGAATGAGAGAAGCAATCTGATTGGCTGGTACGAAGACCAGCTAGCTAATCTCGAGGTGTGTCTTATCGCTCATACGGTCATCTTTTTCGTCATTCAACTTTTCGACGGATATATCGGCCCGGTCGTAGCCGAAGGTTTAAGACCCAACAGATTCCTTCGCTTGACACCATTTTAATCATTGATTTTTAATGCTGAATATAATACTTTATAAGATATTAACATTTCTGAAACTATTGACGAAATCAGCATTTATTTTCCACAGACAAATATTTACCTTCAACGTAATTACCTTCTCTGACAATGCACTTAATTCAATAGTAACTGGTAAGATCAATCGTTTCCATGCAGGAAACATTTGTCATTCATTAACTGAACAGTTAGTGTTGGTTGGAATTTATAAAATCTTTTTCTTCAAACAGTTCTTCAGGAAAACAGACTTCTTGAGTTCACAGTTTTTGTTCGTTCGAGTATTGATGGCAGTTTCCTTCCAAACTTTTTAGGTTTGGTTATGTGGAATGCTAACATCTTGATTTTATCAATATTTTCTTTTC